CACAAATCAGAAGAAAATCCTACTATGGAAGTAACATTCAAAATAAGTCTCGGAGGTAACATCGATTAAATGAACATGGAAGCAGAAGAAGTTGATGTAAGGATATATCATTTTAATTATGCATACAGCTTGTATAAAATATGAATTTAGATTATAAATCTGATCAAGAAACACCAACCTTTGAACCTTGATTTTCTGCAATCATTCAGCAGCTATTATTATTTAGTAGCAGTAGTATTTATTTATTTATTTATTTAAGTACACCAACGATTGTTACAACAATGCAGAAATAGTAAACACAAGTCCACTTATATACTAATTGTACAACTAACTAAAGGTATACACCACATGCTTCAAGTTACTAAAAAGTTACCCAGTAATTCTAAATACATAAAATACAAAAACTTAGGATATAACAAAATAATATTATGTATATAAAATAATGACTTAGACCTTCTTACTTAAATAATGTATCGTTTACTGTAGCCTTATACTTAGCTAGAGACATAACATTAACATCTATTGGCCCTCCGCACTTCTTTGGGAAATTCTGGAAACCGGTGAATTGGCTCCCAAAACTGTTTTGCGATACGGATGAGAGAGAGGTTCAATGAGCTTACGAGGCATTCGTGACGGAAATTTAAAATTAAATTTCATCAGCAGTGCACCGCAACTGATATCTTATAATCCTGAAAAAGAAGGACAGGTCAAGTAGATTCCTGCGGTTGTCCAAGCTCCGCATCTTTGGGGACTCTAGTAGGTCCTTGTAGGGGCTAAATCCTATATGCCAGAAGTGTGAGAAGAATAAGTGTTTAAAAGTTTACTAATCGTTTATGAACGCGTTCAATACGAAGTGTGTGAGTAGCATAATGTGGACGCCAGACCACACTTAGCTATTGTATCCCTTCCTATGATGTAGTGAATATGTGGGACAAATGTCATGTTACTATCCATAAGCACACCTAATCGAATCCCATTAGTGCTGTAGACGCCTGGAATAGGATTAAATTTTCTAGTGAATTTAATGTGTACACATTTAATTCACTAGAAAAGCGCGTCAAGATCTTTTTGTAAATGCGTAACATCATCTTGTGTTTCAATGACTTTCCGAGGTTTTTGGTCACCTGCAAACATCGACGGGGACAAGTATTTTATGTAATTAGGTATATCCTTTACAGAGATATTAAAGAGAATAGGGCCCAGGTGTGAACCTTGCGGAACACCAAAAGTGATATCTCGTAACTGTGAGCTAAAACCATTAACGACTACATAGAAAGAGCGTCTACATAGATAAGATTCGAACCAAGCTAGAACAGAACCCCCTATTCCGTATGCAGATATTTTTACCAGAAGCCGTCAATGGACTACTCTATCAAAAGCTTTGCTGAAGTCTGTATATATCGCGTCTACTTGTTTATTGCCATCAATGCGACTTACAATATCCTCCACGTACGTAGATTAGTATCAGTAGACCTAACTTTTGTGAAGCCGTGTTGGTTGTCGATTAAATACTTGTCGAAGTAGGCTTGAAGAATAAGGCAGACTAGAGACTCGAATACATTAGCAAATGAGGACAATAGGGAAATAGGCCTATTTCCATGCTAATAATGCTAAGCTAACGAGTTGAGCATCTCTTGCCTTATAAATTGGTACCACTTTAGATACCTTCCAAGCTTTGGGAAAATTATTAAAGATAATAAATAAGGGCTTCACCAGACATGATGCGTATCGTGAAATAAATAACGGTGAAATATTGTCAGCGCCCTTCGTTACATCAATATTGACTAATTTTTATAAATTTGCTTGCGGTAAAGGTTTAGAGCTGAAAAACAATCGACTCCTTCCCCCACTGATGTACTAAAATATTCTAGTCGGTATTTATGTCAGATGAGACACCAAGATTTGAGGTAATAGAGAAGAAGTAAGATGCAAAGTTGTTGCATATATCATTACCATTTTGTATCACCGTATTACCGTCTGTCATCATAGCTGGATATGTTCCAGAGCCACCACGTTTGCTTTTAATATGAGACCAGAACAGTTTCGAGTTCGTTAATATTTCATCCTCAATTTTACGAATATATACATTGTAGCATTCTGAAGCTAATTTCTTGCAGCGGTCGGTCAGTAGACGATATGATATCCTGTCTAAGGGGTTGCTGTATTTTTTGTACTTTAGTCTACCCCTATTTTTCTGTCGTAAGCGACTAATAAAGTCCTTACCGAACCAAGGAGGATATTTATTATTTTTTGGTTTGACAATTGGTACAAACTTATGAATGACTTTGTTAAAACCTCCAAGAATAATTCAAGTTTCTTATTTGCAATCACTGTGCCCATAAAAAAGAGACTTCCAATCAACTTCAGCTAAATAGCAATTAATAACAACGTAATCTGCTTTATGAAAATTAAACCTACTTACAGCGTTGGACTGTAGCTTTGTTTTCTCTAATGGAGAGAGTTCTATAGGATGTAGTGTGTCAATAGGACACAAAATGTCTATGGCCTCAGCAACCACGCAAGAATACCCATTGGCCAAGACCAAATCGAGAGTTCTACCCATATTGTATGTTATAGAGTTATGTTGTGTTAAATTATTTACTTTGACGAAATCTATGAAATACTGGTACAGTGATGATAAGTTATAAGATGGACTCCCGATCAAATTCCAGTCTAAGGTCGGAAAATTAAAGTCGCCAAGTACACAGAACTGTGAATTAAAGAGTTCGGAAATATGGTTAAAGTTATCAATAAAATGTTTTAGCAATGAAATTTGCACCGGGGGTGGCAGATATGCTGTACACACAGAGCTAGTGGTTGGGAATCATCAATCATAACCCAAACATCCTCACATTCGCTTTCCCAGTTCTGCATACGCTTCTAATTTAAATGTTTAGAAATTGCAATTAGAGCCCCACCTATTCCTGGTGAAGTCTTGTAAATCACACTTTCTCTTATTACATAATTTCTTTTTGGCATACTCCTTAACATAATTAATAGAATCAGGCGTTACTTTGCGGAAATCCATTATATAAAAGCTTCTGTTAAGTCAGTCAGTAAGTTAAGTCACTTAAGTTAAGTCTAAACGGTCAGCCACCGTCGAGTCTACAACACCTGAGGATGCCTCGTGTAGAGGCGAAACACGTGTCGTATTGTCGACAGTGGTGTGTATTGCCTAGTGTGTTGGGAGTAGCGGTGCTGGGATTAGTGGTGACGGGGATAGTGCACGCAATTGAGGGAGGGCGGGAGGTGCTCTTCATACTAGGTAAGACACATCATTTTATTTTATAGCGCGGATGTTTGCGATGTAAATTTTTTAAAAGCTTTTATACTCCTTAATGGCTGCATTTCTATTCATTTATACTACTCTCATGCTTCTTCTGCCACAACCAACTGTCACTACCATATATTAAGATAGGGATAGAAACAGCTTTGTGAATTGCCATACGTGCCTTTTGTGACGCATTAATATAGTAGTTACCCAATAAACCTACATTGTACCTTAAAATTAAAAGTTACAGCCTATATACGTCCCACTTGCTGGGCACAGGCCTCCTCTCAATTCTGAGAGGGTTTTAGGGCAAGGAAATGTCCGCCGCCTTGCCTCAATGCGTGTTGGCGAACTTCACATGTCTTCGAGAAATATATTTTTCTTGTTTCTCAGACATGCAGGTTTCCTCACGATGTTTTCTTTCACGTGGTAAATCAGCACTTAAAATTACAATTAACAATTTCATTGATGCCGGCGGGTTTCGAACCCGGGTTGCTCGCATACTGTGAAATTTACAGCGAGCGTTTAGTCTCTGAGCTACCACGGCAATGCGACATACGAGCAATTCACACAGGTCTGATGCTTTAAAAAAAATAATAATGTCCTCCAGACCGAACTTTGGTCAAGGCAACCAGTCTTATCGTAGATATCTACATCTACAGGATAGCATTATAGTGCATGAGTACTAGCACAGGTGTACTCCCTATTCCCGCACTCTCATAGTCCGATGGGACGGCAGTCTGAAATGACCAGAGAGTGGGATCAGTCGAAGGACTCCACTTCCTGACTCCATGTTACTACTGAGAGTTTCTAGATAGAAAAGCCCAATAACTAATTTTGTCTCGACCCGGGATTTGAACCCAGTATGTTTTCATTAGAAGTCACGCTTACAACCTATAAATCGACGAGACACCCGGTGCATCATAAATGCTAAAGTAGGTAAAGGTGAGTTATTGGTCACAAAAACGACGTCTAGCCGACTTTGTCTTTTTTAAACTGAAGTCTTTTTTCTTTTCTGTTTATTCTTTTTTTAAAACAATGCCAACGTGGAACATATGTAGTTGCATCGTGGTTTTACCACGTGAAAAACTTAATAAAACATTAAATAAAACTGCAGTTATTATCTCATTTCTATTTTATTTATTTTCATATCTATTTCCATCACAGTCTACTAAATAAGTATTTAAACGATCACAATAAGTATCTTTTCAAATTATAAAACAATATTATTATAAAACATGTTATTAGGGTCTCTATAATTTAATAAAAAAATATAGGCAGACTCGGTTAAGGCGCGAACACACCAGTATCTGTCCCTCGAGTTACTGCGTACGTAATCTTAAATAAATATAAATTATAGGAATACAAGCATTATTTGAAATGCGGTCCAGCCGCAGAATCAAGTGTTAATAAATAAAATTTCAGTAACCGCGACATAGATTAAATTAAAATGTTACCTACGTTTTAAGTACCAAGTTATCACCAATGCATTGAAAAGATCTACACTTCATTGACATTTTTAAAATAAAAAAGTTATTCTTTATTAAGACATAAATGTTTGGAAAAATATTACTGGCCATTTTATAAAAAGTTTATTAAATAACTGTTTAAATAAACGTAGCGTTTTAATCAACTGGTGTGTAGCGCCCCTAACAAATACAAACTTAAAATATTACAGGAACATCCTTGTTACTTGATTGCTTTTCTCATCTGTATTTTTTGTGCGCTTTTATTCGGCCTGTAACAAAATTAAACATTGTTAATTGTTAAGAAATAATATATAGCTAAGTAATAAGCTATAAAACGGTTTTTGGCGGGAACTCGCTAGTTAGAGGATTGCTGATTAAAAGTAGTGGCTCGCAGTAGGTTTTCATACGTGAAAGTGTTTTTTTATAGAATACGGGTGACAAACGTACACACGATCTACCTGATGGTAATTGGATACTGTGCCCCATATACATCTACATCTACCCTCGGTTAAGAATTAAAAATCGGATGTGTTGTCATCCCTAAGGACTAAGATGGAATGCCTCGTATCCAGTAAAAAGGGTCGCCGATTCTCTGTAGTGAGTGTAGACTCACTGTACTAAACAAAACAGCATTAAGCTGCTATTTTACGCTGGTATTATGTGAGAGCGTGATCCGTCCCCGGTTGAGCCGATCCGTTCGTGCTACAACTATAGTATAGCTGTTGCATGGCTCTGCCTACTAAATGTGTTGATTTATGTTAGAAATCTATACGCATATAAGTTATCAGTCGAAACAATAAAACAAACGAAAGAGATAAAGTTGAGCTGTCGTCGATATCTCCCAAAAACTTTGCAATGTGACGCATCAACATATTGTGAATAATTTTGTAAACTATATTTTTGGCCGTCAAAAAACTAGGCAGAACGGGCATTGACGTTTAAATTATTACAACAAAAAACTACGAATAACTTTGTATCTGACGTATATTAAAATGTACGAGAACTTGATTAATAAAACAATAAAACAAATGAAGGAGATAAAACCAAAAACTTTGCAATGTGACGCATCAACATATTGTGAACAATTTTGTAAACGACATTTTGTCCGTCAAAAAACTAGGCTAAACTGGCATTGACGTTTAAATCATTAGAACAAAACAATCCTACGAATAACCTTGTATCTGACGTATATTAAAATTTACGGGAACTTTATTAAACTTTTAATAACAAGTGTTAAAATTAAAAAAAAATTTACCACTGACTTCAATATAAATAAAATAAGAACATCATCAATGTAGTTGAAGCCAAAAAAATTTTTTTATAGAAGAGGGGGCAAACGAGCATGCAGCTCACCTGATGGTAAGTGACTACCGCCGCCCATGAACAAACGTAACACCAGGGGAATTGCTGACGTGTTGCTGGTCGCTTAGAAAGGTATAAGCTCTTTTTTTGAAGGTCCCTAAGTTGTATCGGTCCGGAAAAATCGCCAGTGGTAAACAATTCCACAGAGAAGTTGTACGAGGAAGAAAACTCCTAGTAAAACGCACAGTCGTGGACCGCCAAGCATCCAGATGGTGAGGATGGTGTCGTGAATTTCGACGCGATGTGCGTTCGTGAAATTTGGCGGCTGGAATAAAATATACCCAAAGCATTCTGTAAATTTTACCATGCGTTAAAGGTATATTTAATCAGCTCAACACCGGCATCAGTTGTCGAGCGACCCCTTGTGAAATTAAATTGATTTTTATGAAGTAAATTATTTATATTGAAGAAATTTAATATTTGATCAAGAATAATTTTTTCAAAAATCTTTCTAAGTGTTGGTAGTACATAAATAGGTCTAAAATTGGCGGGTTCTAATGTACTACCAGATTTAAAAAAAGGTATTACTTTACTATGTTTCATTAAATCACGAAACAACCAGATGCGATACTAGTATTAAAATAATAGCTAAATGAGGCGCGATTGTATCTATTATAGACGCAATAACTTTAACGGAAATCCCCCACAGATCCACAGTTTTCTTAACATCAATAGTTTTAAAATATTTACAATATAAAATCGGCTTTCTCCTTTGCGGCATGGGCCAGTGAGTCGTCCTCTCTGTGCAGAGATGGAAGAGATGGTTGCCAGAAGTTCCCTTGGACAGCCTTGGCGAGAGACCAGAATGCACGGGTTCTCGAAGGAAGGCGAACTAGTTTCTCGCCAATTCTGCCGATGTGCTCAGACCTTGCTTTGGCAATGACGCTTTTAAAGGACCTAGAGGCGGAATTATACTTCTTTTTAAGTGCGCTGGTGTTTACATTCCGAGACGTTGATGCGTCAGCCCAGGCCCGGTAACACTCCTGCTTATAGCGTGATGCTATTTTATGGAGCGACCAAACCATGGCTGGGATCTGCCTCCGATGGGCACCACAGAGGATGGAATAAAAAGTTCCATACCCTGAAGTACCACATCAGCAACAGAATCAGCAACAACGCTGGGATCTTCCGGCGAGAAGCAAACCCGCCTCCAAGGGTAGGACGCAAAAAAGACCGCAAATTATTAGTCTATAGAAATTATTAGTCTCTTAATCTGTCAAGTCTCAGAGAAACTGATCGGATTGCAACATGCCAATTCACGGTAATTGATAATTAAAAAAAACATTTTATTTATCGACAACGTCTTGCAATCGTCGTTTCTCTAACGCTCGCTTGACCTTCATACAAATAATTTGTATGAAGTTAATTCTGGATAGTTTTTTGTTTTTGGATAGCAATATTGTAAAATTAATTAGCAAAATGACTTTGAGTTATATTTACATACATTTAAGAAGAATATTGTCCTTGGCCTGACCTACTATACTCTTTGGCCCTACCATAGGTCCTACTAAGTTGATTTTTAATCTTAGTTTAATTCTTAATCGAGGATAAATGAAGATTTCTATGGGCATGCATTCACTTATCATCAGGTGGTGTTTATTTTGTTAACCTTATTCTATAAAAAAAAAATGACTTCGACTGTTCTCAACGACGACGTGCTTAGTTTTGGCGGTTCCCTATAGTAGCTATTATTGACATTTTACAATTAGAGACTTACTCGAGCGGGGTATACGAATGTTTTGGCAAGTTGGCTCCCGAACATATTTGTAGCATGGCATATGAACTCGCCCATGTCGCTCCATCGCAGCGATGAGATCACTAGCTCGCCTGAACGCAGCACCTGATAATAACATATTTTTGAATTCATTTATTACTGCACATCAAAAGCTGAAGCATCCACTGCAGAACATAAGCCTCCTGTAAAGATTTCCTCATAGGGGAACTGTCTCGTTGGTTTGGTGTTCGTAAACGAGCTTACTGATCATGATGTCCCAGGGTCAAATCCCAAGTCGGGCCAAAATCAGTTAATGAATTCTTCTGTCAAGAAATTCTCATTAGTAGCCCAGACCTTTGGTACAGCCATATCAAAACTTTCTTTTAGTAGAAAATCGGTTGCTAAATGAAAGTTGTACGAATTTGTACAAAGAAATTATAGATTAAATTAGAATATCTTGATTTAATATAAAGTTGTCACTATTTACAAGATTTAATATTGTTGGAAATGAGGGTAAAAAAATAAAAGGAAATACGAACAAATGAAGGTAGAATGGTAATCTCTCACTTGTTTTAGCAGTATAAAGTATCGCACAGGCGTCAGAGGCGTCAGTCTGTAATTCTAAGAGTCCCACTGTCGTTACTATGCCCATTGGGGTATTCTACTAGTGTAGGCAAGAAAGGTCGTGTTGCTGTGAGGCTGCCCTGTGTTACTTTGAGAAGGGTAGTGATGCTATTGGTTTGCATATATTGATGTTATCATATAATTGGGGTCGTGATAGAAAGCAGGGTTTGTTACCAAGTAGGTAGTGTTCTTTTATTTAAATACTTTCGAGGATAATTTCTAACATCAGAAGTGGAATGGTTTGTAACAATATTATATTTATGAGGACGTGATAACAGTTTGAGGGTAGAAAGATAAATGTACGAATTGTAAGTCCGTTAACTATTACAATGATGACATATGAAAACGTATTAATATATATATAACCACGCTCTCACACAATACCGGCGCAAAATAGCAGCTTAACACAGCTGTGTTTCGCATGGTGAGTGTAGAGAACTTCAGACCCTTTTTAATGGAAACGAGGCATTCCATCTTAGTCCTCAGGGGTGACAGTTCTTTAACAGTTATATACAAGATATCTTACTAACACATATTGCATATATAACTTCATTCATTCATTACAACCCTTCCACAGGTCCACAGCTAAACCTAGAACTCCCCAAAGCACGGTCCTGAGCCACCTGCATCCATTGACTGTCTGCATGTCTTACTAGGTCGTCGCTCCATGTAGTGGGGGCTGCCCTACATTTTGCCTACCGGTACGAGGGCTGCCACTCGACAACATTTCAGCTTACTAATCCGTGGGGCTACGTAGGTTACTCTGGTTCTAATTTCTAAGTTTACACGCAGGGAAACCTCGAGCGTAGTCCTCGCCATAACTCGCTGAGCGACCTTGATCTTCCTCATACGTATGACATAGGTTATAATTATTATATGAACCAAACTTATAATTAAAAGTTTAGATGTTAGAACTGTTCTAACATCTCAACAAATAGTGTACCTTCATTCTTGGGTCCCTGCCGACCGGTCGACCGCCATTATCCCTCCACGCTATTTTCGGCCGGGGATGCCCCTTCACTCTGCAAGGGAGTACTACGTTGTTGCCGATCGAGTCCACGAATACTTTGTACGTGACTAATATTCGTGGCGCTAGTGGGGTGAGTTTCGAGCGTTCCGCGAAGTCGGTGCTGCCATCTGCCGATGAGTAGATGAACTAATTAATTACGTTTAGGCGGGTTGGTAAACGATCTTTTTTTAATTTTAATTAGTTTCATAAGACATGGGATAGTGACACTGTCTTATGCGAGATTCTGCGAGTAGATAAATAAATAACTGCGTAGTCCCATTAAATTTTCTAGAAAAACTTGCGCCCCCAAGGGTGGAAAATAGAGGAAAAAGTTTCATATTGGACTATAATATTGTATAAAGAATTTTAGTTATGATATCATCACGGATTGAAAACCGATTTTAGTGATTCTTTTTTATTAATATATTTTAAGGATGGTCCCATATGGAGAAAGAATTTCATCGCTAAGGCTAGTAAATAAATAACTTCTTTTTAGCAATTTGAAGTCGGATTTTACTTTTTGTTAAAAGTTAAAATTACAGTTTTCTTATTATTATTAAATACTAACAATACTAATAAAATTATTAATATTCCCTTTAATCATCTCTGGTAAGCTTAAAATGCTTGTGTTAGAACTGGTTCAGGACAGTAGTCGGATGGCGGATTCGAACCTTTTGACCTTTTGAGTTCGCGGACATATATCGTTTCTATGGATTAAATAATATACTTTAAATTATTTTATAACTAGCTGTTCCCCGCGACTTCGCCCGCGCGTAATTTATTACGATTGGATTTCGTGGGTTTTAACTTTTAGCGCGGAATCCTAATTCTTTTTCTAAAATAAAAGTAGCCTAAGTTACTCCTTATAACATTAGCTATCTGTCTGTGAAAGTCCGGTCAAAATCGGTCCAACCGCTCCGGAGATTAGCCGGAACAAACAGACAGACAAAAATTTTAAAAATCATGTTTTTGTTGTAAGTACCGCATATACTTTCATATGCATTTAGTAAAAAGCTATTATTTCGACGTTAGAAACAGACACTTCAATTTTTTTGGAAAGTTTACTCATATACATAATATTATGTAGGTATTATATTAATATACTTCAAATTGTTTTATAATTAGTTATATAAATAATATTATGTAGGTATTATATTAAAACGGCATATAAATCTCTTCTTACTTGTGCTGTAAACTATCGTAGAAGCCCTTAACGTATTAGAACCGGCGACCACGACGCAGGAGTACTCCACCTTCCCTTCTGTCCGTGGCACTAAGAGTGTGGAGGTCACCCTTGCAAGCGACGTCGGATTTGCATCAATTACTTCATTAGATTCTAGATCATGCTGCAAGAAAAAATAATTCTTGTTAGTGCCCCTAGCTATATTAGTAGTATAGTTGTAGCACGAATGACTCTACTCCACCGGGGAAGGAGCACGCTCTCACAGAATACCAGCGTAAAATAGCAGCTTACACTGCTGTTTCGTATGGTGAGTATAGAGAACGGCAGACCCCTTTTTACTGGAAAAGATGCATTTGATCTTAGTCCTCACAGGTGAAAACGCATCTGCATTTTGATTCGCAAACGAGGATAGATGTAGATGTCTATGGGCCACAGCAACCTCTTAGTATCAGGTGGACTGTGTACTCGTTTATCACCCTATCTTATAAAAAAAAGTTGTCGATGAATTATATAATGAATGTTCTCCACACCCAATTTCGGTCAAGGCGGCCAGCCTCAACGGAGACTAGCCATCGGCGCAGGACAGGATTATAGTGCCCAAGTGTATGCGCAAGCACAGGTGCACTCTCTATTCTCTCACTCCCATAGTGCGATGGGACGGTAATCCGACGTGACGGAGAGAGAAATCCGGTCTGGAGGACATTATTTGTTATTACATAGCTGCAGTTCGAATGGGTCGGCTTGACCGGGGTTGGACCACGCCTCACGCAATACCAGCGTGAAACAGCAGATTAATGCTGTTTCTTACGGTGAGTGTTGAGAGCCGGAGACCCTTTTTATTCGTAACAAGGCGTTCCATTTTAGTGGTTGCTGTGGCCTATATACATCTACATCTATTCTCGTTTGTGAATCAAAATGCAGATGCGTTGTCACCCGTGAGGACTAAGATGGAATGCCTCTTTTCCAGTAAAAAGGGTCACCGATTCTCTACACTCACCATACGAAATACAGTAGTGTTAAGCTGCTATTTCGCGCTGATATTCTTTGAGAGCGAGGTCCATCCCCGGTCGAGCCAACCCATTCGTGCTACAACTATGTAGCACATATATACATGGCTCTACCACGTACTAACTTAGCCTTAGCGATGATACCGCATCTGCATTTAGATTCTTAATCCACGATAGATGTAGATGTCTCTATCACTTTTAGTCAAAGTGACTGTGACAGCACAAGACTAACTCCATCTTAGAATCAGGGCTAGTAATTTTCTGCTCACCAGATGTCGCTAGTTGACACTGAGGTAAAGTTTTTTTGTTACTCAGTGTAATTTAATTGAGAAGTTGGTTTTTAATAAAAGTTTATCAGTTTCTAGAGTATTAAATTAATTCACAAAACAATGCGTCAGTGATCTCTTTAATATTTTTGCACATTTTAACTTTTTTTTTATATTTTCTACCTTTAAGAATATCTGTGGTTAGGTTTACTTATTTTTAATCTTATTAATATAAAATATAGCTAATAGTGCAGAAAGAAACAATAACCTTTACATTTTCCGGACAAATTAACTTCCCCGCTATGAAATCTGTCAAATATTATACCTCACTTTCTAGTGGCGCCGCCCTGGTGGCAGAAAAGTCGTGGATGCCCTCATTGCGTAGTGTTTGAGTATTACGGCTTATGGGGTCGTAGCTACTTACCATCAGGTGGACTGTATGCTCGTATGTTCAACAAGAAGTAAAAAACGTCGCATAAAAATATAATTAGAGGTTTACAAATTGGACATTATATTACCTCGTATATTGGAGCGTCGTTCTTGAACCAGTGTACTGAAGGCGCTGGTGCTCCAACTGCATCGCAAGTGAGCTCCAGTGGTGCCCCAGTGGGGTTCACTGTCATTGGGTTGGGCTTCTTCATCAGCGTTAGGAACTTTCTGGATGCCTGTCTGGATTGTACTGTGGAAAGCAATTTGATTAATTATTATTTTTTGTTTGTTGTTGTACGAATGTGTCGGCTCGACCGGGGAAGGACCACGCTCTCACAGAATACCAGCATAAAATGGCAGCTTGACACTACTGTGTTTCGTATGGTGACCGGAGACCCATTTTCTGGAAAAGAGGCATCCCATCTAAGTCCTCACGGGTGACGACGCATCTGCATTTAGATTCTTTATTGAGGATAAATGTAGATGTCTATGGGTCACAGCAACCGCTTACCATCAGGTGGACTGTGTGCTCGTTTGTCACCTTATCCTATTAAAAAAACGTAGGTATATGGACGTAAATGAAGCGAGAGAAGTGTGTCAAGATTGTGCTATATGGAAGTCCGTAGTCTCTACCTAACCCTTTGGGTAACCACCTGATAGTATGTGGATGCTGTAGCCCATAGACATCTATATTTATCCTCAAATAAGAATCAAAGTCACCGCTGAGGACTAAGAAGGAATGACTTGTTTTAAATAAAAAGGGTTCCGATTCTCTAAACTCACCATATGAAACACAGCAGCAATAAGCTGATGTTTTACGCTGGTATTATATGAGAGCGTGGTCTTTCCCCGGTATAGCAGACCAATTAGTGCTACAATCATAATAGCTGCAGCGTGGCTCTAACACGTAAATCATCATCTGCAATGAACCTAAGAAAGGCCAAAGGTGTGTTGTCGGTTACCACACCTGATGAGATGGCATGCCTTACAGCATGTACTTAATTATACTGGAATATTATAAGCAAATTGAGAATTTGCCAACATGTTTATAGAGTTAATACTTACTATTACCACGTGCTTTTTGGTGAAGGAAAACGTCATGAATCATATATTTCCGATGAATGAAAATATTTCGAAATGTAAACTACGCCAATACGCATATACGAGCAGCATAAGGAGGGTTAATATTTTTCCGCTCACCAGATGTCGCTATATGGGACTGAGTTGAAGTTATTTATTGCAGTGTCACTGTATATGAAAAGTTGCGTTTAAAAAAAAATCGGTTTCCAGTGTATAAACCTATGTATATACAACAATGTCGCAGTAGTTGTTGGTTTTGTAATTTTTTTTGGACATTTTTAATTTATTTTTAATTGTTTAACTTTTAGGAATATTCGTGGTTTATTTTATCTATTTTTTTCCAATTAATATGAAATGTAAATAATATTCCAAAAAGAAGCATCAACCTTTATATTTTTGTAATAATTTAACTTTCCCTCCATCAATTCTGTCAAATGTTTAAACTCATTCCACATGAGTAAAGAAACTGTACGATTTCTTTACTCATGTGCTCATTGCAAAGTGGCGCCGCCCTAGTGGCAGAAAATTTATGCCTCATTGTATAACTGTAAGACTAATTTATAAATGAAGTGAGGCCTGTTATAGGACGTATGTGGGGTGTAAATATACTTTAATTTTACAATACTTACAATTAAAGCCAATATTATTATCAATTTCTAGTAGCTTCATATGTTTGTTCACGTTAGCGGAACGGCAACCTCCGCTCAGTAGCGCCGCGGCGGCGAATAGCAGAACTATGTAGAACATTCTTCAAAACTATTTGTACTGTGAGAGATTCAAGGTTGGTTTATCTGTAACAAACGAGAGTACACATGAAAATAAGTTGTATATATGCTTCACATATAATTTTAATTTTAACTGTTTAATTATAAAGGTAGTGGCGGTGTAAGAATACACAAAACTTTAAAAAACCACGGTTGACAACTCGCCAGCCGAGTGAGGCAAAGAAGCCTAAGTAATTTTAAAAAAGACACGTTTATTAAATTTAATAATATTATTATTAATTATAAATAACTTGAAATAACGTAAATTCGGAATTTTTTTGTATTAGAAACTTTACCTCTAAACCCTTCTCCTGTACCGAGGAGAAGAAGGAGCGAAAGGAAGAAACGTGTTTATTTTACAGAAAAACAACATAAAAAGAGAAAAAAGAGAATTGTTCATCTATTTCTAAGTAAACTTAAAAGAAGTTGTTTCATCTCAAACAGGATCAAGCTTCAGTGATTATGTTCTTATACATACATAAATTCCACGTGAACATATCCAGAGGTGGAACAACTATTAACATAATAATAATAATGTCCTCCAGAACGAATTTCGTTCACGGCGCGCGGCCAGTCTCAACGGAGGCTAGCTAATTTAATATTAATATCTAATTTATTAATTAAATCCATTTCATGTTTTTACATTTTTGTCATTAAAATGCAATTGTCGAAAATATATTTAAATGTTTAATTAAAAAGAAAAATATTGTTATGCCATTGAATATTAAAAATAATATCCCGTGGTAATGTTCAAATGCACCATTAAAAATTGGTGTGAATGTAATTCGGTCCGCCTTTACTATCGACTTTTTCTTTTTATAGAAGAGATTTATTCTGTAAATAAGTAAGTAGAATTTTTAAAAGTTATATAATTTTTTTATATACCACGTTTTTTTTATATTCTCACATTGTTTTCAGATTCTGAGCTATTTTCAAAATTTGAAGTCTAATTCATAGGGAAGTTAATTTAAAATCACTAAAATTAAAACAAACTTTAAAATTACTAAATTCGATCGAACAGATTACACGAAAGTGAGTTAATAAGAACCTGGTAATAAAATAAATAATTAAAAAAATTAAAATCCAAAATAGGTTGTATTATATTAGGTAAGAAAACTTGGTGCTTTAAGACTAAAATAAATATACCTTAACTGTCAAAATACATCCAGCCGTTTGGGAGACACTAGGTAATAGAGAAATTTACATACATACAAGGTACGCGCGAAAAACAATACCCGTCCTCATGGAAGGTGAAAAGGAGGCAAATGAGCACGGTTCACGGTTCCAACGGTTCGACCGACAGTAAGTGACTACCTCAGCCCATAAACATACTCAAAGCCAAAGAACGTACGTTTTTTTACGTGGTAGAAACTATATAATAAGTTATACCTACGTGGTAGAGCCATGCTGCAGCTATATTAATAGATCTAGTATAGTTGTAGCACGAATGGGTCGGCTCGACCAGGGAAGGACCACGCTTTCACAGAATACTAGCGTAAAATAGCAGCTTAACGCTGCTGTGTTTCGTATGGTGAGTGTAGAGACCCGGAGACCTATTTCACTAGAAAAGAGGCATTCTATCTTAGACCTCACGGCTGACAACGCATCTGCATTTTAATTCGCAAACGAAGATAGATGTAGATGTCTATGGGCCACAGCAACCACTTACCATCAGGTGGACTGTGCTTCCTTGTGTGCTTGCTTGTGCTTGTGAAAGGAATTGCAGGTGACTTCCCGTTTATTACAAGTTCGATGTCTTTTTATCTAGACAATTTTAGTGTCTATTCAATTGAGTCATTTTGCGTGGTAGAGCTATGCAGGAGCTATATTGTGGTTGTAACACGAATGGGTCGTCTCGACCAGGTAACGACCACGCTCTCACAGAACACCAGCGTAATGGATGCCATAGGCGATCCAGCTTACCGTCAAGTTTGCAGCGCGCTTAAAACGGCGTCCAGTTTGCAGTGCATCCATACAGACCACTCATGTTCAAGTTCGCCGTCTAGTTTGCATGATGCCGCACTAGTTGAAACCATGGCGTCTCTCGCTTATTACTACCACTGACGTCATGCATACTTGACTGCTCACAGACACGTTCAAGTTTACATGACGCTGCAAGCTTGATCAAGTCGGCAGAATCGAAATTCAATTTTCGCTTCAAGTAGACTTGTCATACACACTGTCAAGTTTACCAGACGCCGCTTCAAGCGTGCTACAAACATGACGTTAAGCAGGATCGGATCTGGCATTCATGAAATAGCAGCTTGATGCTGCTGTGTTCCGTATGGTGAGTGCAGAGAACTGGAGACTACTTTTTACTGGAAATGAGGCATTTAATTTTGCATTTTGATTATTAACCGTAGATAGATGTAGATGTTTATGAGCCACAGAAACAGAAACAGAAACTTTTTTATTCAATATAGATTATAAATAATACTTATTGAAAGTCACTCTTTTGTTTGATTACCACTGGTTCGGAAAAAACCTCTGTCCTGGGAAGAACCAGCAAGAAACCCAGCGGGACTTTTTTTTTAAATAACAGCTTACAATCATGTATGTTACACAAATTAACAACACAACAAATTAGAAATAGCTTGGTAGCGATCACCTCATTTCCAGGGGTTATTATCATCTATAAATTCATTAATATTATAATAACCCTTTTTATACAAACTTAGTTTAATAAAGTTTTTGAACTTTGAGCAGGTCAAATTTTGTATATTTTCTGGAATTTTGTTGTAAAAGCATAAGCCCCAAGAACGAATTACTGACTCGATGAAGTCGAGTAACTGGTACTACTAGCTTGTGTCTGTTCCTAGTATTTACAGAATGAATATCACTTATTTTTGTAAAACTACTTTAATTTTGTGTACGTACATTTTTCATAAATGTATTGAGAGGCCAAAGTTAATGTATTAATTTCCTTAAATTTTTGTCACAGCGACTCTTTAGGCTTTAAATCATAAATTGCTCTTATGGCCCTCTTCTGTAAAACAAATATAATTTCAGTGTCAGCTGCGTGTCCCCATAGCAAAATACCATACGACATTATGCTATGGAAATAGCTAAAGTAAACTAGTCTAGCTGTTTCAACACTAGTTAGACTTCTAATCTTTTTTACGGCATATGCTGCAGAACTAAGTCGGCTTGCTAGTTTTGACATATGGGGGCTCCATTGAAGCTTCGCGTCTAGTGTGATTCCAAGAAAAATGGTGGTATCTGCAAGACTCAGTTTCTCCCCATTTAAAATTACATTAGTATTTAATTGTTTGACATTTGGAGTCATAAATTTCATATATTTCGTTTTAGTGCCATTTAAATGCAAATTATTAACATTGAACCAATTTACTAATTTAGATATAGCATTATTTACGTCTGACAGCGATTGGGTTAAATAAAAATTCTAACTTCATTTTACAATAATAATTAGCGATCAGCCCCGGCTTAACACGAGTGATTTCTGGATCTCAGTGTCACCTGCCGGGTCCAAATACGGATCTAAATCATCTACGGACCCATTCAAACACACACACACACACACACACACACACACACACACACACACAAAAAATCCATTAAAATCGGTCTAGCCGTCTTTGAGTTTTAACGATAAGATTAACGGACAGCAACAGATTTTTATATATAGAGATAATCGCCCGTATAGTCCGTAGGTTTCTTTCCCTTTCTCCCTAACCCTCAGTTGTTCGGTCTTACCTACCGAGGGCTTTAGATAGATTTTTTGTCTATTTATTTTATTATATTTTATGTACAGTATTTATATTGAATACATATTTTACCTTTAAGTGGTTGCTGCGGCTCATAGACATCCTCATCTATTTTCGCTTTGACGTGGTAGAGCCATGCTGCAGCTATATTACTGGTATAGTTGTAGCACGAATGGGACAGCTCGTCCGGGGAAGGACCACGCTCTCACAGAATACCAGCGTAAAATAGCAGCTTAACACTGCTGTGTTTCTTATGGTGAGTGTAGAGAACCGGAGACCCATTTTACTGGAATAGAGAGGCATTCCATCTTAGTCCTCACGGGTGAAAACGCATCTGCATTTTGATTCGCAAACGAGGATAGATGTAGATGTCTATGGGCCACAGCAACCACTTACCTTCAGGTGAACTGTGTGCTCGTTTGTCACCCTATTCTATAAAAAAATGCGTTGTTACCCGTCAGGAATAAGATGGAATGCCTCATTTCCAATAAAAAGTGTCTCCGGTTCTCTACAGTCACCATACGAAACACAGCAGCGTTAAGCTGCTTTTTTACGCTGGTTCCTGTGAGAGCGTGGTACTTCCCCGGTCGAGCCGACCCATTCGTGCTACAACTATACTAGTAATATAACTGCAGCATGGCTCTGCCACGTAAAATAAATACAATAGAAATAATAATAATAATACACAATGCCTCCCTCGTTGGTCCGTCAGTCAGTCCGTCCAATCAGGGTTTAATCCTGGATCGCGTCAAAGTAATTATTGGATTTTCCAGTAAAGAAGTTCGCAGTAACAACCCTGAGTAAGGAAGTCCGAAAAATTTCACCCCCGTGCCTCGGAAAGTACCTAAAGCTGTTAGTCTTGCACCAGGTCTCTCCCCGATTGCTGCCCCCGACTATAAGAGTCAGAAAATAGAAAGTACACACACTCCTGCACTATAATCGAACCACGGAGAGTGCTCAGAAGAATAGTTCGGATTATTTCCAGCCGCCAAATTCCGCTAATGCACATAGCGACAAAATTCCCGTCCACATCGTCTGGGTGTTAGACGCTCCTGTGCGAATTACTAGGAGTTTTCTTCGTCGCGCGACTTCTTTGTGGACTCATTTACCACCTGCGATTTTTCGGATCGATATAATTTAGGGACCTTCAAGAAACGAGCTTACTCCTTTTTAAAAGGCCTGCAATGCACTTACAATGTTCATAGGCGGCGGTCGACACTTTCCATCAGGTAAGCCGCGTGCTAGTTTGCCCGCACTT